AGGTTTTAGAAGCTGAAGGCTTATTTTTGTAGTTACCTATTTGTATTACATGTACTTCAAGCCGAGGGCTTAATGTGTTTAGAGTTAGAACTCTCATTTTTGTAACCAAGTGTTGGCTTGGAAAGTTGTAAGCCCGTAGGGAATTTACTTTTGTTGTCAATATGTAATACTTTTGTAATGAATACTCTGATAAATGAATATATGTTTATTTCTCTTATGTCTACGGATGTTAAGAGTGATTGGTTTATATATATTATTTTGAGGGCGTTACACCACCAACGTCTCCCAATTGTCCGGTAAAGAACTAAGCAGTAGTACGGCTTGCATTTCATCATCCAAGGGCATCTTGAATGTTGCAAGCTAATTCACCAGATTCTTGAATTCACTAGTGTGCTCGGCAATAGACATACCATTCTTTAACTTCAGATTTACAAGCCTTCTCATCACTAAGGCTTTGTTTTGGGGTGTTTTTGACTAGTACATTCCTTTTAATATTGTCCAAAGGACATACGAATTTGTCTCCTGGGCGACATGGTGGAACATATTGTGGTCTATCTATTGTCTGATACAACCGACAGCCTTCTAGTTCATCTTTATCTAGTCTTCATCCTTCACTTTTTCAGGTTTAACCCTTTTAGAGCAATAGGGTCAAACAAGTCTTTATAATATAGGATGTCTTCTATCCGCGACTTTCAGATTGCATAATTAGAAGGATTCAACTTGATCATGGATCCTGAAGTTGATGTGGATTCCTCCATCGTCTAATTTCTTTTTATAGAAATTTGAAATCAAAAATCTGATCGTACAGATCTCTCTGGAATACTCCAAATAGTTGGAAATCACTATTGGATCGCCAAAATTAGACTTAAAATGGCTCAAATCTAGCCAAAATAAGTTCAAAGGTTCAGATCTGCGGATGTACTGTAGCCGCATAGCACTGGATAACTCCTCCATCTTTGGGTTGGGTCGGGTCAACCTGACTGGCTGACTGGTCAACAACGGCTGACTTGGATGATACGTGACAGATACGTATACTAACGTGGCAGACACATAGCACGAACGTGTGATGGCGTGGCGGACATATGGCGATGACGTGGCACTGCGTGGCTGCCAGATGTCACTGACGTGGCGATGACGCATCAATGACGTGGCTATCACGAGTAGAATCAGTCGCCTTTTTCCTTCTGCCAGGCATGGGGCGCGTGTCTATGACTGAGGTGACGCGTCGGTGGTCTTCACGACATGTGTTGCGCGTGTTTGAGACTGTGCTTCACGCACTTTCTTCATATGGCGCGGGAGGGCGCATGGGCCTCTTCTTGGGCTCGGCTTTGTAGTTTTGGACTCCTCTCATAGAGTGCTTCCTCTCGGTATGCTCAAAATTGAATTTCGAGCAACTTGATTTTTAGGCAGTTTTGAAAAACACATCATGTTTTTCCGAAAATCGACCAACGCGGCTCTGATACCACTTGTTAGGATCAAGGCACATCAGAAATCAATCACACACAATAACACAAGAGATTTACGTGGTTCGGCCATAGCCTACGTCCATGGGAGAGATATCCACTATAGAATTTTTCCCGAAGGGAGATTACAACTCACACCTAACAACTCTCTATAGAACTCTCTTACTCACACAGATTATACACTCTGTGTTGCCTCTGTTTGTGTGTTTTTCTTCTCTTCCTCTCAGCCTCTATTTATACATAAAAGAGAGGGAACAAAGTCAAGTGAAAGAGTAATTGGGCTACCTAACTGCCAACTGCCAACTGCCAACTTTCCTATTCCTTCTTGACTTGGAGAGCCAACTAGCCAACCTCCAACTACTCCTCCATATGGGCTGGAGTCAACATGAATTACGTCGATCGATTCTTGTCGAGGAATTCAAATATACCAGTAAAATCTATCCACTTTGAGCAATTTGATTTGATTTAATGTGTTTTTGATTGAATATTTGATTTGATTTCAATTCTTGGTTTAGCCGATGGAGGGAAATCCGAACAAGAACATAAAGCTTTTTGCGATCTGTTGTCTTACGCTTGCTTGGAAGATGAGGCGCAAGAAATTCTCTGTCGCTAAATTCATAATGAATCTCTCTCTCTCTCTCTCTCTATATATATATATATATAATGTTAGGTTTAGTTTGTGATTGGGTGATGTTGAACAGGAAAGACGAAGACTTGTCATGAATCCACTTGGGATTAGGATGATGGAGCTTCGGATACTAATGCTCTGGAACGGAGAATGTGATCCTTGAATGCGATATACTTCATCGATTACTTCTACCCTTTCTTTAAACTTGGACATCCTCAACCAATTCAGGGCTTCACTCGTCCACACATTGCACATGCCATTATCACAGTTCACAGGGGTAAATTTATTATCATTACTATTTTATTCAAGTTAGTTGATAATTTGTTTGGTTTCCAAGAAAACCAAAGAAAAGCAATGACAGTGAAAATTATGATGGATATATATTTGGATTCAACCAAACAAGAATTGTGAAACCAAAAATTAAAAAATTTCCTTTTCATTTTCTTGCCAACTAATCAATGATTTGTTCTATGTAATTTGATTACAAATATCAGATTCACACGATTCAAGCCGTCAATAATCATGGCATCAGTAATTCTGAGCGCTTCACTACAAGATTTTCCCGCGCAATTCCTTCAATGAACAGAGGCGGTCCTCCGTTGCCACTACATTGATAAGGTAATAGAGTAATCGGCAACATAAATTCTATCACTTGCCACTTGTTTGGCTAATGAGAAAACAAAGAGTGGAAGAAAGAAATAAAATTAAAAAAACAAAAAACTGTGAATTTTGTTGTAATGTATTCCAATTAATTTAACAAATACAAAATTCTCTTAATAACTCATGATTTATAAATTTAATTTTCCTTCAGTTTCTCAGCAGCCAATTAGAGAAACTAAAATAGAATTTTTTGAGCAAGGATCCCCTGTCTCCAAAAATTCCTATCCCCCTGTCCCAAATCACTCACAACCATTGGATCATTTGAGAATTCCAAGACATATCCAATGATTGTGAGTGATTTGGGACATGGGGACAGAAATTTTTGGGACAACAGATCCTTGGGCGAATTTTTTTAAATGTCTGAATTGCATATTAATTGTGGGTATTATGGTGGTTAGGATGCCTTGTTGCTGTGCATGGCGATTGGAATCGAGGTCCTTGAAGGTGTTAAGAAAATGAAGGAATTGATTAAAATTGAGGAAGAAATAAAAAAAGAGAAAGCAAAGAAAATTAACGAATTGAAGAAAACAAAGAAAGGAGAGGAAATTAAGAACAAAGGGAAGGGTAAAAAAAATGAGGAACCTGAAAGCGAGCGAAGAAGACAATGAGATCAGCAAAGAAGAGGAGGATGAGATTATTATGATGAATTTTGAACTCAACTGGCCACTTGCTCAACTTGAGGGAGACCTGATCATCCCCGACCCAGAACCCGACCCTACCAATGGGTCCATGTAAACAGAACTACTTGTTAATTGGATTTTATGCAATCTGTGACCTCCATATTGATCTTTTCATATGTAAGCTAAAAACTACTTTTCTTTATGTTGTGTTTGGTTAAGTGATTTGGGAAGAGATTTAAAAAAAGAAAGAAAAGAGTTAGGTGGAATGCGAATAAAAATATACATACATTTCATCTAATTTTACACTTTCCATTTTCATTTCTAAATCCCTCCCCAAATCTTCCAATCAAACACATCATTAAAGTAGTAGTTGATCAGTGTCACTACAAGAATCTGCGCTTTTAGTGACCACTTTTCGCGACCAATATAAAAGTTGGTAGCTAAAAGTTATCTTTTGACGACCAAATATTAATTAGTCGCAAATGATCATTATTTTTGGCGACCAAATATGAGTTGGTCGCAGAAGGTCATATTTTGGTGACTAAAAAATGAGTTGGTTGCAGAAAGTGGTATGGTTTTGGCGACCAACTATAAATTTGGTCGCGGAAGGTCACATTTTGGCGACCAAAAAATAAGTTGGTCGCGGAAGACCAAAAATAAGTTGGTTATGGAATTGGCGACCAAAATTTTGGTCGCCAAAAAGTGGTATGGTTTTGGCGACCAACTATAAATTTGGTTGCAGAAGGTCACATTTTGGCAACCAAAAAATAAGTTGGGTGTGGAAGATCAAAAATAAGTTGGTTGTGAAATTGGCAACCAAAATTTTGGTTGCCAAAAATTTATTTTTACCGACAAAATATTTTAGTTGCCGTATATTGAGTTTTGGCTACCAAAACTATTTAGTCGCCGAATGAAAAATAAAAATTTGTTTTTACCTTTGGCAACCAAAAAGTTTTGGTCGCCAAATAAAAAATCTCTCTTCTCTCTATCTCTCTCTCAATCTTTTTCCCTCTATCTTTTCCCAATTTTTTTCCCTCTCTCTCACTCATCACTCTTCTCTCTGGCTCTCTCATATCTCTCCGCTCTTTATCTCTCTTGTTCATCTTTCTTCTCACTACAACAAAATGCACCTTTGGCGCCCAAAATTGGCGACTAAAAAAATTTTAGTCACCAAAAGAAGTGGAATTTGTGACTAAAATTTTTTTTAGTCGCCAAAAGTACAGTATTTAGCTGCTAAATTTTTTTAGTCGGGATATATTGATTATTGACAACTAAAAAAAAATTTAGTCGCTAAACACACCAGAATTGGCGACAAAAAAAAAAAAAAAATTTAGTCGCCGTATATTAAGTTTTGGCTACCAAAATCATTTAGTCGCCGAATGTAAAATAAAAAAGGCTTTATGTATTATCTCTAGTCTACATCTTTAAGTTACATGTTTCATTAACACCGAAAAATTGCTACTATATGCAGAGTTCAAAGATGACCCTGAAATCTATGTTTTCCCGAAGTTGAAGTATGTGGGCATTGATTTGTGGCAGGGATTTTTGTTTTTTCCCTTATAAATGGTTTATCATTCTTATGGAATTGTGACTATGACTAAGCAAGTTGCATGAATTTTGTCAGGTGAAATCTAGAACCCTGTTTGACGATGTCTTGATTTGTGATGATCCGGATTATGCGATGAAGCTGGCAGAGGCAACATGGGGCAAACAAAAGGATGTATGTTGTCTTTTGCCCCTCAAAAGCAAGTTTTGATATATTTGAAAATATCTTCCAATTGTTGAAGTTTGGGATTATATTTGTTTGTTGCAGGCTGAGAAGGCAGCATTTGAAATCTATTATTAATATCTCATTTAATAAATCTTTTACATTTTTTCTATTATTAATATCTCCGCTGTGAAATCTAGATTGGCAAACTATAAATAATAGAGAAATAGTATCCTCTTAGGATGTGTTTGGATTATGGATTTAGGTAAGGATTTGAAAAGGGCAACAGAAAAAGGAAAGATGAGGCAAATGAGAATGAAATATAAGCTAATTTTTTTTCTCTATTTTCATTTTCCTTTTCAAATTGTTGTACGCTAATCCATGAACCAAGCACTACATTAGTATTTATTTTGCCAGAAATGCATCAATGCAGACAGAATGGATATCAGAACATGTATTAACATTTGTCAAATTTGAACATGTTTAACTAGCTTCTCTGAGTCATCAGTGCATTTATTTGATTTAGGTAAGGATTTGAAAAGGGCAACAGAAAATGGAAAGATGAGGCAAATGAGAATGAAATATAAGCTAAATTTTTTTCTCTATTTTCATTTTCCTTTTCAAATTGATGTACCCTAATCCATGAACCAAGCACTACATTAGTATTTATTTTGCCAGAAATGCATCAATGCAGACAGAATGGATATCAGAACATGTATTAACATTTGTCAAATTTGAACATGTTTAACTAGCTTCTCTGAGTCATCAGTGCATTTATTTGGTTGAATACAATATTGATTGTGCTATTCCATGTCTTGTTGCCAACTTCTCAATTTGATTTTCTGCCAGGAATCAAAGGATGATCCTGTAGATTCTGATGTAAGTGCCACGAATTCATCTAAACAATATAATTTGTTTATTTTAACCGTGTCATAATCTTGATAAACTGGTTTTTACAGGCTGAAGGTGATGATGATGAAACTGACAAAGATGCTGATATTACAGAAGAGAGTGCACATGTAGGATTTCTTTCTACTTTTAATTGTTTAAAAATATCAATTCCACAAAGGATCCACTTTGATATATCTTGTTTGTTGCTTTGTATTTGCAGGATGAGTTGTAGGGAGGGAAAGCAACGTTGTGGTTTTCTGCTGACAATTCACTCTCTCGAGATCTCTGAATTTTTTTTCTTGCTTAGTTTATTTGTAGCTTTTAGTTTTGTTTGTGTCACTACAAGAATTAACACTTTTCTTGGTCGTGGAATCTCACTTTTGCCGACCAAAAGTTTTGGTCGCGAAAAGTAACAAATGGCAACCAAAATTTTTGGTCGTGGAATGTCACGATTGGCGACCAAAATTTTTGGTCGCGGAATGTCACAATTGGCAACCAAAATTTTTGGTCGTTGAATGTGAAAATTGGTGACCAAACTTTTTGGTCGCGAAATGTGTCAATTGGCGACTAAGATATTTGGTCGGGAAAATATCACTTTTCGCGACCAAAGTGTTTTCGCGACTAAATAAATTAGTCGCGGTAATGATATATTTCGCGACCAAAAATTTAGTCAGCAAATCCGACTTTTCCCGACCAACCAAAATTTTGGTCGCGAATTACTTTTGCCGACCCTCAATTGGCGACCAAAGTAGCGACCAAAAAAATTGGTCGCGGATAACTTTTGCCGACCAAAAATAGACTTTTAGCGACCAATTTTTTGGTTGGCAAAAGTGTTAATTCTTGTAGTGTGTAATACATGAAATAAGAGAATTTTTTTATATGATATTTCATAAAATTTTATTAATTAGTAATTAACTTGTAAATGGACATAAGTGTAGACACCCCATTTTTGACCGACCTTAAGACTCAGACGTCACTGATTGAGCGCTTGGTGATGTTGCATAATGTGCTCGTTCAGAAGTTTCAGAGTTGCGGCCGTGAGCCCTGCCTCCGGACTTCCGAACCCTCTTTTATGTCGGTTTGCGAACCAGACTCAATTTTCTTTGTTTCTTTCCCTGAGGGAAGGGAGAGGTCCCGTAGACCATCTCTCAATGTCCGTAGGCTACATTTCGTGGTCGTAGGCCATTTTGCCCATTTCGGAGTCCGGTTTCCGGTTTTTCGGAATCGTTGGCCGTGTGCCTCGGTTCGGGACCGCCTAACCATCTCCGTTTGTTCTGATTTTTGGCATACTTCCTATTTTCTCCCTTTTGAGGGACACTGGGGTCTAAGAAACCCACTTCATGGCCGAATGCCACTTTCGGTGCTTAACAGCCCATTTTCGGCACCTCGAACTGCGTGTTTTGGCCCCCGAACATTCGTTTTGCAACGATTTTCGTTCATTTTTGGCAGGTACCTCTGTTTTATCTCCGGGGAGGTCACTGAAGGGTGGGAAGCCAGTAATTGTTGCAGCAACCAGTTATACATCCTCCGGCGCCCTCCGACGCCCGTTTTTCACACTTCCGGGCTAATGTTGAACACCTTGGGGCCGCTTTCTTGAACTTTGAACCACATATTTGTGATGTACACACTTGAGAGGATCCTAAAAGTTGGTGGCCGGCCAGTAATTCCACCTGACCCTTTTGAACCCCTCCTTCCGGGCTAATGTTGAACACCTTGGGTCCACTTTCTTGAACTTTGAACCACATATTTGTGATGTACACACATGGGAGGACCCTAAAAGTTGGTGGCCGGCCACTAATGTTGCTTGACCCTTTTGAACCCCTCCTTCCGGGCTAATGTTGAACACCTTGGGGCCACATTCTTGAACTTTCAACCACATATTTGTGATGTACACACATGGGAGGACCCTAAAAGTTGGTGGCCGGCCACTAATGTTACTTGACCCTTTTGAACCCCTCCTTCCGGGCTAATGTTGAACACCTTGGGCCCACATTCTTGAACTTTGAACCACATATTTGTGATGTACACACATGAGAGGACCCTAAAAGTTGGTGGCCGGCTCACTGTTGGCATCCTGGCATTGCATTACCTTTAACATAAAAGACATCTTTATACTATCGAAAATGGGTTAGAGATGGGTAACGAAGGTTCTGTAGGAGTTCTCTACTTCTATCACTGTTAGCTACATCTAGTCCTACAAAATGGTATAGGATAGTTTGGGTAAGGGTGTAAACGGCATCTTCTCTATTTCTAATGGTTCCTATTATGGGATCAGTATCTATCTTAAAGGAATTAAGAATTTCATTTTGTTGTGTGATGGTAAGAACATTATCCCACCATCCTTTAAGGATACTGGTCAAGCCATTGACAATAAATCAGGCGATTTGGCTATCAGAATTGTCATTCTGTTTACAAATGGTGACATACATCATAATCTGGTGGATTGTTTCAAATATCTAGTACTTGATATATCCATCAATATTCCATTCATAAATAGTCTTACTATGGTAAGCTTTCTGGGAATGAAGAAAATCTTCTTCATGCAAAATATGCTGGGGTGTAGGTTGGGAGTAATAATGCCTACTAGGTCCGGTTAAAGCCATGCGGGATGTTGGTTTAGGGAAATAGGTTTTATTTATACATTGGATGTCCTGAAAATTATTCTTAATTTCAAGAATATGAGAGGGTGACAATTCATCATCCTCATTCTCCTCTAAAGATTACTGGTAATTTTGGCTGTTTAGCATATTAATTTAAGAACTAGATTGCCCTAGTTTCATGTCTTTGATTTTATTCACAAGAACATCCAGAAATTCATTATCCTGTTTGACTGATCTAATCTTGAAATTAGAAATTTCTAAAGGTGGTTTAATATTAACGGGATGTATAGGTTCAGGTTCAGACTTCTTTTGATTAATTTTCTGAGTCTGAAGTAATTTTGCTATGGCCATTTCAATTCGGTTTAATTGATTGCCTACTGTTTGAAAATGAAGATTTGTATAATTATTCTGTTTCATTATTGGGGCAAGATCTTTAAGTAAAAGAATCTCTCATTTTTCAGTTCCATCTGGTGGTTTTACAAAAGCTGTAATATGAAAAGATTGACTGGAATAATTTACCCCTGGTGCTAATTCTACAGATAAAGGAGGAGGATGTACAGATTTAATGGTTTGACCATCTGTAGTAGTCCAAGATTTCTATAAGTCGTCTAAAACATTCAATTCTGATGATGATAAATACTCCATTACAGTTGCATATTCATAATACCATTCGACAAAAGTTTTCATTATTTGATATTTTTCAAGATGAAATAATACTGTTTTTTAAGCTTTTCAAGTTCTAGAGAACTACCGATCTAAATTCCTGGTATTTATCTTGCATAAAATCTTGGTTTAATTGTTTTCTTATTTCACTTCCTGGTGTAAAATCCATTATATTTCAAAATTCATGTCACTAGCTGTTGGCTGTAAGGCCTTCTGTTTTCATACACTCCATGAGGTATTTGATTTTCTGATACAAGAATTCCTTGAATCACGGGGTCTGTAGACAGATTACATGGTGACTGGCTAGGTGGTCTAGATGACATACCTTGTAATACTGATTCAATAGGTTCTTAAGTAGATTGTCTAGATGATTTTGGTAAATCTACTCTATAAGAAGGAGCAGTTCTAAAAATGGTACTAGACATGCTTCGACTTAGTGATCGACGAAAATTGAGATATACATTGCCTCCTTGAGTCTGGACTACCTGATCAATAGTATTTCTTATAATTGGTCTTACTGGAACAGCATTTGGAATATGCTAAGTTTTTGGAAAGGTAATTTTTTGCCAATGGATCATTCATGGGACAACTACCTGGCTGGTGAAGAGATTTGTGTCTATTAAGATAGTATGTCCTAATTCACTATGTTTTCTGGT